CCCAAAAAAAAAGTTGGAATGAACACTTAAACAAAAAATAATTTATTTCAACATTTGATTGGAAATGACATTTCCTGTAAATAATCATTTCCAAAGAAAAAAAGAAAGAATTGAAAAGAGAATTCAGTCCCATATCAGATGCCAAGAACCAGCTGTCGTTTTAGGCCATGAACCAGTTCAATTTTCTTTTTAGTATCTGACAAGAAAAATCACTATTATGTTTAGGAATATAATTACGGCGCCACACATGTAACGATCCGGCCGGTCATTTTGAACTCTAGTGTGTCGTTCAGCGGTTTGAGGCTTTAAATAGCTTCACTTCATGTTTTATGACTTGTACGCGCAGTAGGAATCAAATTTCGGGAAGTTCAGAGTTAACTCGGAGGGAAAATTCTAATTTCAGAAGCTTTAAGTTTGAAGAATTGACTAACGTTTGACTTTTGAGTAAACGACCTCGGAATTGGGATTTGAAAGTTCCAATAGGTTCGTATGATGATTTCGACTTGGGCGTATGTTCGGGTTGAGTATCGGGTCGCCCGGGAGCATTTCGGCTCTTATTATGGAAAGTTGGCATTTTGAAGGTTTTAGAATTTCCTAAGTTCGGTTTGAGGTGAACTTTGGTGTTATCGATGTCGGTTTGGGATTCCGAGCCTTAAACTAGGTAAGTATCGTGATTTGTGACTTGTACGTAAAGTTTGGCGTCATTCCGGAATGTTTTGATATGATTCAGACGCATTCGTCGAAGTTTGAAAATTTAAAGTTTAAAGAAGGATTTCGATCGTCGATTCGTAGTTTTGATGTTGTTTGGTGTGATTTGAGGCCTCGAGCAGGTTCGTTTCATGTTTTGGGACTGGTTGGTATGATTGAACGGGGTCCTGGGGGCCTCGGGTATGTTTCGGAGTAGTTTCGGACCAAGTTTGGCTGAGTTGTAGCTGCTGATGTCTGGTGTCTTGTTTTGTTCTTCACGAACACGAAGAGATTCACGCGTTCGCGAAGAAGGATCTGTTGGCTGCTGATTTTTGTGCTTCGCGTTCACGGCTGGGGCCTCCCATTCACCTAAGGTAAGAAGGTAAAGCATCGCGTTCGCGATTGGGGCATCGCGTTCGCGAAGGGGAAACTGGGCCGGGGAGATTTTTAGCCTTCGCGTTCGCAAAAGGTACACCACGTTCGCGAAGGTTCGCTTGGTAAAGCATCTCGTTCGCGAGATATGACTCGCGTTCGCGAAAAGCAGTTTTGGAACTGGAGCTGGTAGTGCTTCACGAACGCGATAGGCTTGTCGCGTTCGCGAAGAAGGTCGCATGGGCAGTGTATAAGTTTGCAAAAACGGATTTTGGCTCATTTTATCTCAAATCTTGATGGGAGCCAAGCTTAGGGCGATTATGAAGGAGCTTCTTCGTCACCCATCGCAAGGTAAGTGATTTCTTTACATTGTGAATTAAATACATGAATTATACATAGATTTGAATATGGAAATTGGTGGAAATTGTGTGATTTTGAAAAAAACCTATAATTTGGTATTTTTGGACTTTTACGATGAAATTGGACATGAGATTAGGAATAAATTATATATTCTAGTTCGTGGTGTTATGGATAATGATTATCTTCAAGAATTTTTGGAATCCGGGCACGAGGGTTGACTTTGTTGACTTTTCGAGCGGAGTTGGAAATTTTTATACATTTTTAAATTATATGCATTGGAGTATATTTTGATTGATTTGCACCTTGTTTGACTAGTTTCGGATCGTTGGCTTTGAATGAGGAGTTAAAGAGGCGTTGAAGCCAGTTATGAAACTTCGGAGCGAGGTAAGTCTCCTGTCTACCCCTGTGAGGGGGAATTTACCCCGTAAGTGGTATGTTCTTATGTGCTACATGTGCTAGGAGCTACGCACGTATGAGGTGACGGGTGCTCGTGCGTATGCTAGAAATCCTCATTATGTCTGGGTAGACTAAGTTTCACGACATGCTATAATTGTACTATCTAAGTTATCTTTGCTCGTTTAATTATTTTATTTCGCATTACGAATTGAGACTAGACTTGCATAGAGTGATAGACTCACTATTGTAGAGATGCGACGAACCACTTGATAATCCCCGAAACAATTTGTGCTTCCCTTATGAATTTCTTCCGTGTTGTGCGTATTCATTGCAAAGTTTTTCCTTAAAATTTCATAACTCACACGTGTATTCGTGAGTGGGGTTAAGGACCCTTTAAAACTTCTTACTCTAATGAGAGCGGGCCATTCGCCTTGGCAGTATGATAGATGCATCTATGGTTCGTGCCTCTCAACCCTCGACAGTGTACATATTATTATGGGAGTGGGTCGTTCGCCTCGGTAGTATCATATTCTTATGGGATCGGGTCGTTCGCCACGGCAGCGTTGTGCGTATTATTTGACAAGAAATTAGCGTATCCGTGTGTTTTCCCTGATTTGTGTTATGACGACCTATCTGGTGAGGTTCTTTTCATATATACTGTGGTTGTGGAGCTACCTGATAATTGAGAGCTTGCGTTTACTGTTTAGAGGAGGATTGTACCACGTTCCTACTGTATTTGGTTTATTGGACCACTAGTAAGTATCGATGTCAACTCCTCGTTACTACTTCTCCGGGGTTAGGCTAGATACTTACTAACCCACGCATTGATTTACGTATCCATTCTATACTTCTACACTTATTGTGTAGGTTTATAATTTTGGTGGTCCTTTGGGCGCAGAGCCGCAGATATTGCGGGGACTTTACGGTGAGATGCATTCTATATTATGATTCGCAACATACAGAGTGTCCATCAGTGTTATTTACATTCTCCTTTCTAACTTGTATTCCAAACAGATGTTGTATTTTATAATATTTTCTAGTTTATGCTCATGCACTTGTGACACCGGATTTTGGGGGTTTCGACTGGATGTTTAGTATGGTAGCTCATGTAATTATTATCATTTCACCTTGTAATTTTTATTTTATACTATTCAATTAATGGGAATTATGATTTTAAAAGTTAGGAGCACTTCCCTTCTTGATTCCTCATCGTGCGATTTGATTCCTTTGAGGCTTATGCCTTTA